GTGAGAAGCCATGCCTTCCAAAGCGGTAGAATTTGCTCTCTGAGAAGCCTTACTTGAACCCCGAGGGAGGTTTTGGCTGCAATATCTCGTGCTTTTCTTCTGCGGGCCCTAGGCTTGGAAAAATGTAATAAGCTAGGACATAATTTGTTCCTCTTCCGTCCAGAGAGCACACAACATCTTAAGTATGTGTGCGTCTGCCTGTGATTGTGCTGCTGAGTAAAGTGGTTACTGATTGCTTTGACCCTGTCATAATTGCCATTTATTTACAAAGAGCTTAAAATGAGGTAGGGAGATGTCACGGTCCCCTGCTCCCAAATTTGCAGCCTTTAAAAACTAAAATAAAAATAAATTCGAGAGATGCAGAGAGGGTGCATGAAGAGGAGAACGTTTAGGTTATTTGAGAAGGGCCGTTTCCTTTTAGAGTTAATTGTGTGCATTGATTGTTTATCCACTTAAGCATGAGAAAGAATCCAGTTGAAGGGAGTGTCCAGAAGGAACAGCCAGAGAAATGATTAGGGAATGGGTCTGGTGTAATTAAACGTAAAGCAATGCCTAAAACGGAAAGTGGAGGGCAGGGGTGGGTTCATACCGCGTTTGGTCTAACCCTTTCTGAGCATCTTTGGGCCCCAGGATGCCTTCAGAGAACAGATTTTGTTGTTTGGAAAACGGGGAAGAGTCACAGGGCAAAAGAGGACAGTGTCTTTACAGGCTGTGTAGGAAGATGGCAAAGAACATCTTTAAAGTGGCTGTGCAGTCTTTCAGTGAGGGAGGCAGATAGCCTGCAGGTCAGTTCCCAGACCTTATCTATTTCTCTGCCTTTTAATGCTGAATAGTAGACTGGTGGATGTGATCCTCAGCTTTCAAACATCTTCCTTTTACTTTTTTGGCTGCCTGAAAGGCGATTCATGCAATGCTGTTAGTGGTATAGCGCTGTAGAGGTTCTCAGCAAACCTTTGAATGTCCACCAAACTTTGGGCATCTACATTTGGCAACCCTTCCTTTTGTTGAGTTGTCAAGACTGCCACGTTTCCTTCTACCTTGCATTCCCTGAAGTTGGGGTGGAGGAGCAGGGCAGCCTCGCTACAGCTTGTTGGAAGGGGAGAGTGGGGTTTGTTTTGTTTTTGAGGGTATTGTTAGGGTGAGGTCTAGATCTACACCTGATTTTATTCTTCACCCCACTGTCCTATGTGTAAAACAGCTTTCCTTACAGATGTGGCCCACTGGGTCACCTAACCTTCTGAACTAGACCTGGATGCAGGGCTGTGGACCGTAATCAAACCTAACCGTGGGGTGCCTGTACAGGGAAGACTGATCCACAGTGGTGGTCTGTGGTTTCCACGCTTCCAACATGTCAGATTAGACAAGGCTAGGCTTTCATACCTGGTGCAGCAGCTTCACACGTCTAGAAATTTCCGAACAAGAAGCCTCCGGGGTCCTCTTTACAGAGACGCGCCGGTCTTCAAAAGAGCTCTCGCAGCTAGGATATCAAACCTGCTGCTTTAAAGCCCCATTTGCTTCCTGGCTTGTCCTTGATGGGTACAGTGAATCGTGCGGCCGCCTGCCTGCGAGTGCAAGGGAACAAAAGCTACCCTCTTTATCATGCAACACAAAGCTACACATCCTTTAAAGGGTGGGTTAATTTTGCTCTAGCAGCACAGAGCATACAAAGTGGACGGTGCTGTTTTGTTTTGTCGTCCTCC